CGCTGTACGGGCAGAGGCCGGCAGCCCAGGGCAGCCCCCCGGGCAGAGCTGTTTTCTCGCCTTCCCTGGCAAAAAGCAACTCCTCCCCGCCCGGGAGAGCCGCCTGGCCCCGCTCTGCCAGGGCAGGACCCGGAGCGGGTGAATGAAGTGATTTAATAACAGGGTTTTACCGCAGTCAGGATCCCTGCGGGGGATATGCCACGCGGGCTGGCTGCTTTGCTGGAAAGAAAAAGGAAAAAAAAAAAAAAAAAAAAGAGAGAGAATTAGAGCTCGTTTCAGCCTGAAAAGGCTTTGCTTGAGATTAGATGAAGAAACTGCAAAGAGGAGACTGCGATAAGGTTATGGGAAGGGGGCGGGGGGTGGTTCTGGAGTTGGGTTTTTGGTGTTAAAGGTGGGGTGAGCAGATAATTACCTTTACTTCTAGTAAAATGAAGTAGCTGTGAAGCTGGTAGCATCTGGGATATCTTTATTAGCTCCTTAATTTAATTGAAATCCCTTGCTGGGAAGGGCTGGAGGGGGAATCTGGTTCCTGACAGCTGAGATCTAATATAGCTGTCTGCTGCAGCGGAGCAGTCTGGGGGAGCAGGAGCCTGTCTCAGCAGGGGACAGCCAAGCAGCCTTTTGTTTCTTTCTGTAATTAATAAGTAAGCCAGGTCAGCTCAGGCTGTTAAACCTGTAGCTCTGCTGGCGGCCGAGCGCCTGGGTCTGAGACGCCTGCCATCCCGGGGGACGGGGCCTGGGTCAGCGTGCGTTGCTCATCTGGTTCTGGCAGCAGCTCTGTCCCAGCCTCCGCAGCACGCCCCTCTTTATCCGCGTTCCCTTCATGAAGGTTACCTTCGCTCCAGCCGGTGGCACCGTGTGGCGTTCGGGCACGTCTTCCAAGGCCGATAGAAATGGCAGATTAAATACATGTGGCCGAGAGGCCAGCAGGATGCGAGCCCTGTCTGAGGTTTGCAGACAGAGTATTTTCTCAGGCTGCCTTGAAAAACAATTTATTTTCTCTTTCTCTTTTTGAGGTGTAAGGCCTGTTGTGCTGCTGGAATTTTCCTGTTTCCTATGGGTCAGAAACCTTTGCTTTAGCCAGATACTTCTGGCAACGAAAAAGGATGCATGCGTGTAAGCAACTGAATGTTTGGAAATGCTTAATGAAAAATAGATTGGGTTTTTTTCAGATGCCAAATGAGCTTGAAAAAGCAGGTTGGACGTGATGTCAGAGAGTGATGAAACAGGTCCGTTCGCAGGACCAGCGGTCAGGGCATCAGAGAGCAGCTTCCCTAACGCCAGCAGGCTGGGGTCATCGTGTTCCTGGAGGGTTTTGGCTAAAAGCTGGCTAAAGACCACAGATTTGTGTGGTTTCTCCTCCCATATGTGTTTTAATTGCTGAAACTACTTGGTTACTCATTTTTTCCAGCTTGGTGTTTTTCTTTGCTCGAAATGGGAATTGTGGCTTTTTATCAAAGTGCTTAAAACCCAGCATTGGTTACTTCAAATGCTTCTTGTGTCAGCAGTGGGACGAACTGCTCGAGGGCCAGGCGGGAAGCGTCCGGGACAGACCAGCCCCTCGCGAGGCCCACTCTTCCTTCCTCCTCCTCTTCTCACAGCATGCCTCTTGTCTTTTCTCGAGAGAGAGGACTTATGGTAATTCCTCAAATCACAATATATTTGAGTTCTCTGCCTTCCCCTCCGGCGCCCACAGCTCTGTTCCTCCTGTTCACCCCGTCACTTCGAGCGTGGGTTCTGTGCATGCTCCTGGTTTTCATCCACCGCACGGTGGACTCTCTGGTAGGGTGAGCCATGCAGTCTGCAGTCACGTGTAACGTCTGCACGGGATTTTGTCTTGCTTGGGCAGAGTAACTAGACTTGCTTGGACTTGGTAACCGAACATCTCTGCCTTCTCAAAGTCCACTTGTGTGTTACGCACGGGGTAGTTTGATGCCTCCTGCCCTTTCTTTTTTGAATTTCAAGTGAAATCTCACAGCTGCTGCCTTTCACTGCTGCCCAGGTGAGCTGCGTGTGGCCTAGGCAACGTGGAGATGAGAAGTGGGAAGGTGAGCTAAACAGGAGGACTGGGGGGAAAGAG